CGCTCAATAATCTCATCCTAGGGGAATTATACGGATAGAGAATGATGGCGTATTATCATCCAGTTAGAAACAATTGAGTTTTCATCCTTGACTACAGCACCTGAGAAACGGGATTTTTCGACATTACACTCGGGGGAAGCGTTCTATTTACACAAAACGGACGCAGGAAATGAAACGAATTCTTTAATTTGCAAAAAATGCACATTTCAGTAAAATTTGAGAATTTCTCACTCGGACATCGAGAAATGCACAGGTGGCGTGAAATAACGCTTTATAAATTGAAAAATTACACACATACGGCGGAATGTTGCCACAGTAAACCAGCTGCAGCTGCGAAATTGCTAAATTCTTTCATTAATTCAAATGCACTCACCTTTTCTTCCTTTCTTTATAACCCAAACCTTCAAAAGAAATAGAAGATACAGTATAAAAAACGAACACAGTACGGAAGGGGGCAAACCCTGGAATTCAAAACTTCTTCTCACCACTGAAGTTCGCAAATTGTTCATGACCTAACCGAATTTCGACAAACAATGCTTCAAAAAGTAGGAAAAACATAATTTCCATTCGACAGTGAGCAATACTCCGACAGTGGAATTCAAGCATGAAAAATGCAATTTCCTACAAAATATTTCAGCAAATGAACGCAAATGTTTTCTGTTGGTCATTTTAATACCGGTTTTCGTCCATCAAATCATAGTCGCGTTTATGATGTTTAAAAAATGAGCATTTTAATGCTATAATTAGAACTGTTGGCAGGTCAGTCACGTAATGACTTCTGGATTACATCAGCAAGCCTTAGAGGGTTGTGAAAAACCTTCACTTCCAAGAAATTTAGCTGGATAAATTACGAGCCATTTAAAAAGGAAGCAGATTTCATCACAAATTAATTTTTTTCATGGCAGAATGTATATTATTTTATGATTTGCATATTATGACACAAGGTAGCCAACCAAAGTATTCTGGAAGGACTGTTTCTTAATCGTTACATATATTCTGGTCAACCATAATATATGTGATAAAAATGCCGTATCAAAAACAAAAAATATTAACATAAGTTTAGAAGGGCAAATATTGGTACAGTACTTCAATTTCAGCTTAGAAAAGCTCTGAATTGCAGAGTCGGCCTTCAGCACTTAATCCATCATTTTTCATGTAAATTTCACTTCGTTCGACAACATTTCAGCAGGAGACTTTAAATCTAATTATTTTACGTTCATTTATCTTCTTTTGGGAAAAATTTCAGCTTAGAAAAGCTCTACTTTGAAAAAAAAACCAGTCTCGACATTCCATCCGTAATTTTTTACGCTGATTCATCTTACTTTGAAATCATTTCAGCAGGAAAAATACTGGCACTTCGAATTCAGTCCAGAAAAGCTTTACTTCGGGAAGTCAGCCTCAACATTAAATTCTTAATTTTCACGTCAATAATGTTTATTTCTTTACCAATGTTTCCAAAATTCTTCTTTCAATTTTCCTGTCATTTGGAAGTTTGAAAAACCTTTACTTCGCAAAATAAATTGCTTTACGCCGGCCAATTTTTTCTCGCATAGAAATGTGTTCTCAGGAGGATTTTCTGATAAACGAAAAACCGGGACCCAATTGTACGTATATTTTCGGAATAAAGATTTTTCTGGATGGTAGTGCAGTCTAGGAATGAGGTACTGAGATAACAGGATACAGGAAAGTTCCAAATACGGTACATCCAGGTGGTGTACCTTGCAATTCAACCTCCCACAATTTGACCATCCCGCAATTTTACGGTGCAATTTGCTGGGAGGTTGACTCTCAATTTGACCTCTGCCATGCAAAGTCAACCTGTGGAGAGACATGATACATCACATGCCACGTAGAAAACATGTCATTTGACCTTGTCGCTCAATTTGACTGCTCTGCTATTTGAACATACCCAAGTAATGGATTAGGGTCAAATTTCAAGGTACAGCACCACCAGTATATAAGGTATATTAGATCTATTTAAATCTTGGAGGACCAAAATAAACTGTTAGTCTTGTACAATTTCTCCTCAAAGATTCTCTCCAAATTGTTTGATCAACTACAATGTATCTTGGAGCAGGCTGATCCCCTTGTGCTTTAATTTGGGCTCAGCAATTGCCTTATGCTGCAAATCTTATTACTGATATTTTCTTTATTTTTTATTCTAGTGAGGGGAACAAAGTATGTATTTACATCAGTTGTGCATTTGTATACTTTGGGATATATTTCCTTTTCTGTTAATACCCATAAACAGCTTATTTCTCTATTTTCATTATGATGTGATGGGAAGTGTTCGGATGAATGTGGGTGAGGAGGGGGTTTGGATGTGGGATCATTGTTTGAACCTTTAAAATGCTGCAAAGCGAAAAATAAAGTTTGTTTATGAATCAATATAAGCTACATACTCATATTATTCACTCCAGTACCACACGCACCATTTTTTTACCCAATAAATTCGGTTGAAAAAAATTATGTGCGCATCATAGTTGGGTGGAAAATTTCAAGTGACTTTTGCCATATATTTAAAAATTACTAACGATTTTCAGAATTTGCTTTCAAAGTTTTCTGTTTTAATGATCCTACTGTATTATTTGTTTGAAACAGAAAATCTCGAGATAGGGAAACGAACATTTTTGTGGTGGGAAATCCTTGAAGAATGGAGTATTGAATGAAAATTTGAATGTTCCAGGCTCAAAACTTCGGCCATTTTTTGTAACAAAATTCCTTACAAAAATCAGAATATCAGTCTTTCGAAATTTCTTCAAAACTTTGCCAAATAGAATGCTAAGAATGCCCATGTGCATTGAGATTTGAGACTCACGTCATCTTTCATGTTTCACATGGGTCCAAACGTAACATAAGTAAACTTAACAGCATTAACAAATCTTCGCAATAAGGTCTATAATTTGGACCAGTTTCATAGACCAAAGCACATGGCATTCCTTACATTCATTCATGAGCTTGATTCGACGTGAAAATCATCTCTGAATCTCATCTACACCTAAAAATTTTAAAAAAAATTATACTCAGCATGTTTTACTAGTTATATGAAACATCTATAACAAGCGCCATATTCTAAGGCCGGAAGGACCAATCTGCAAAAAATATGAAAAAAGGAAAAAAATGCCTCAACACAGGGTATGAAAACGTTACTATTTTACGGGATCCTCATTCTCCCATAATCATCACATTCCTGGTCTGAGAACGGTATTCGATACGTGAGAATGCACTAAGTACTGTACTGTAATGTACAGTTCATGCTTTTCAACAGCATAATGGTTCTAATCAACGGAACTTAACGATGATCAGACGGACAAAGTTTACAGAGACTCCTTTGTAAAGAGTTTATCTTGATTGCCCCGATTCACAGGCATTCTCTCATGAAACTTGAGCAAAACGGTGCAGAAAGCATTGTACAAAATTATATCCGAGCTCCTATTAACCATCAGCAGGGATACGATCCAATTTGTATCCTTCCCCCCAAAGGATAAAAATTAACCATCTAATCGTACAACATTTACCCCTTCTAATTCTCACAACTTCTAATTTACGGCGTCCAGTATGCGACATTTACACCTTTTTGGCGCCTAATTGAGCCCGTTTATNCACACAGAGAGAAAAAAAAAATCAAAGAGACACTCACATCAGCACGATACGGGATGAAAATTGCAGACGCCAAATTGCCTCCGATCCCAGCGGTGAAGTAAATTATGCCAATCCTCAAAGGACCCGCCATCTTCTCCAAATCCCGCATCACGTACCACTGTACCAAAACGGTGATGCCCAAATGTATGAGACCCGCGTGGAGGAACAAAGACGTGAAAACTCTGTAGAACTGGTCTGGTTTCTCGGGATTGTAGAAAGGAAGCATTCCACACACGCTGTCCAAACAAGACACCTTCGAAACAAATAACAGATGAAAACTATTATACGAAAGCTTCAAAAATGTTTTCCTTGCAAAAAAAATGCTAAAGAAACAAAGATTGACTTATGTATCATTCCGACCAAAATTTACACGAAAATTTGCACTCTCACCTGAGAACACAAGAAGGCGTTCTTGTGAAAATATCCGTTGACAAACTGACAATATTCGAAAGTTGTGATGCGACAGTCTCCGTGGATTCCGATGCAACACGGTCTGCCAATGATTTCGCACGTCACGTGATCCGCGGCTTTCAATTCACGAGCCACCACAGCCAAAGAGGTGGAAAAACTATCGCGGAAATCAGTTTCTCCTTGATGGAAAAACGTTCGGCGATCTACCGGATCGTCTGTGCAAATCGGCCACTTGGTCACATCATCTGGCCAAACGTACGGCAAAACTGACGCAGGCTCCTTGCAATATCTGAAATATTCAAAATGTTTAAATTTGCGCGAATCTTCTCACACGAACAAGATTTAATGTACCTAATGAAGAAAAGCGTACGCCCAATATTCGAAGGCGTTGTTTAATAATAAAAAAAAAACGTTAGACGTTTGATGAAATCATGGTACATTTTCAAGTAAAGAATTGCTCCTGACAAATAACAATTTCAAGAGAAAAATTGCGTGAGAACATAATTTTAAAAAGCAGAATATAATTTCAATTCCATTAAAAACTGGCTTCTGATTAATTCAGCACGTAATGCAAACATGAGAAGAATAAGCGACTCTTTTCATGAAGAAAATATGCGATAAAATTAAATTGCGTTTTATTTCCAGGCAAAATAGCTTCTTTTCAGGGCAAAAAAACGAGCACACCAACTAATGTCCGTCTTCTGCTAAACGGAAAAGAAAGAGAGAAATTTAGCCATCTTGAAAAAAATTAAAATAAAATTTTCATGAAGTTTTCTGAGCACTGAACAATTCATGAAACATTCTATAGAGTATAGACATGAAATACAAGATGAAAAACTACAACTCACGCAGGGTCCAATCCACAAACACTTCCAGAGATCCGATTATCAGGACCAGGATCTTGCAGAGACCAACGTTTCCATGTTGACAGAGTTGACTGTAACATTAATTGAAACACTTATATACTGGTGATTTCTTGAAAATGTCGGCATCAGCAGATGAATCGATCATTCACTAACCGAACATTCTTTCCGAGATGTCTGAACGCAGCCGGAATGATCATTCCTGATGCAACAACCCGTTTCTCGCTCAAACGCATTTTGCAGGCGGATTTGCTCCAAAATTTTGGCATCACGTCGCATGCATGGTCCGAACTTTGCTCCAAGGTGTATCAAATCCGCCTGAGTTGTTTACAAAAGAGTGTTCGAGAAATTGCTGCAATGAATTTTGCAAAAATAATGTGAACCACATACTGCTCGAGGTCCAAGCCAAAAATTTGCCGGCTCCCAATAATCTACAGCTTGCTTCACCAAACTGGGAACTGTCACCTGTCAAAAAGGAATGAAATAACGTAATTCAATTTCGTCCCACGTTCGTACACAAAAACAAATTCAAAACACGGAATTATCGTCAGATGACGGAGGTTGAAAACATGAGGGAGAATAAAAACTGAGAAATTCAAAGAAATCCACGAACCAATGCTCGCTGCTCAACAATGCTGAAACCGAAAGGGCCGAATCCATAACTGAACAAAGAAATGATCATGATGAGGATTTGCGTGAAAGTGATCCAGTAGGTGAAATAAGGCCGGTAATCGTCCATGTCGTCCAGCTGCTCCTTAACTTTAGCACTCCTTGTAGATGACGCCTTCATTCGTCGACTGGCGGACAAAAAAAAACAAACGAGAAATCGTTTACGCGCCTTTATATAAAAAATTCTAGTTCTAAAATGTTGTCAAAAGTTACTGAAAATCTTACCCTAATAATCGACCGACGACACCCATGCCGTACTGACGTCGATTGGCATTACTGCGCATGTTCTCAATTCTTTCTCGCGATACCCGTTGGAGTCCAACTCCACGGAGACTTGGGAAATGACGCTCTTGTAGCCGATGGTCCACGACATCTAGTTCCGGGAGCCTAATACCGTCTAGGTATTGCTTTAGCTTCCATCCACCAGAGCTCGCTCTAGAAATAAAGAGAAACCGCGAAAACCCCGACTCAATGGCTTTCAGATACACGATTGACCTCAAATGGAGTACACTTTTGGTTAACGAGGACACTGGCCAGATTTTTCAGCTGAGATGAAGCTGCAACGAAATCTTTTCATCTGGTGATTGCGACACTCCGTGCTTCAAACCCCCAAGATTTTATATGGGTCTTCAACTCTACATATAGGTGTCGCTTCCATTCTGATTGACGTACAGTACCGTAATATTTACCTCGCAGACGCTGCTTCGGTTGAACATTCGCGGCAGTTATTTCTCCCCATCACCAGTCAGGATTAACAGGACAAAAAAAAAAGAAAGTGAATATAAATTCGAACATGCAACACTCCATAATTTAAAAGGAAAAAGAAAAATATCGGAGTTTAAATTCCGGAAAACAAGATTTCTTACACTTCCAGGGAACCTCGCACAACGGGTTTTCGATACGGGATGGAATCACTTTCGTCTCTGTGTACGGGAACCGACTGATCGAAGAAAACTTCAGTTTCAAGCATGGACAGCAGCTCCTTCTCACGAAGTTCTCGCCTTTCATAAAAAAAATGATGAAAAAGTAGATACAATACTCACTGTATACACAATCACATACCGTCACACATATCTGATATACACGTGCATGTACACACTACATAGATATTCAGCCAAGACATGAGTAATTTCTCTTATAATGATATTCATGACGCTAAAAATATTTTGGTCGACAGAATTGCCAATGAAGATCGGCAGAATCAGGCGCTCATCGAAAATTATATTTCTCTACATGAAAAAAATTATTATTTAGTGATCCCTATTG